GAGTTACTTGGACAACCATTCCTTAGTATGTGCCACTTCACAGGGGCCGGGTTAACTGCCTCTAGCCTTAGATAATGTCTTTGGTGACTTAAATTGTTCTGACTACATAAGCAAGAGCATACTTCCTTGTGCAGCCCACCTAGCAAATTTGAGGGGTCTGCTGTAATGTGATGGTACCCTTTGGGGCAGAAGAGATGGTAAGAGCAAGACCTTTGGTGTTCTGACTGGCCACTTAAGTTATTCTTCACTTTATAAGCCTCACCCTCCACTTTGGTCACCCTGGAAGATAACTTGCCTTTGATCCATTTGTGACCCTTAGCACTTAATCCATCTGTGTCGCTTCCCACCTTTTAATTTTTTTTCATCTGTTTAAATTGAAAACATCTCAGAAGAAGGTGTTTCTGTTTTCAGAATGCCAAGCCAAGCAAAACAAAGCCCAAATCTTGTTCAGGTCCTTCAGTTTCTGCTGAAATAATTAATGAGGTTTTGTGTGAGCTGTTGCAAACTGCCTAGTGATTCTTAGATTTGCCTACACAGTTGCCATGGTGCACCTTGGCCAAATAGTTGTTTGTAAAACAATTTTGTCTCTAATATAAAAGGCACTGTTAAAAATCAGTTCCTATTATTTTTCATTTTTCTATCCAAACTGTAAGCTTAGAATTGCTGACCATCTCCTTAAACACTTCCAGGTAATAATGATACATATTCTTCCAGCTAACATATATCATTAGTTTTTGTCAAACAAAGCTTAGTTCATAGCTGTAGAAATATTATGATTTACTGGCCTCCAGCCAATCTGTTAATTACCTGCTAGTTCCTTAATGCAACTGAGGCTTTGTTTGATTTCAGTGTAAGTTATTAACTTGCTGGTAAAGGATCAGTACCTCATAAATTGTTTCTCTAAATAACTTTACAATGCTACAGAAGTTTAATTAATTTTTTTTAAATAAATAAGAATAAACATGTGAAGGACAGCTTTAAATTGCAGCTATATAAGGCAACTCTTGATTTGAGATATCAAATAGTAGCACCATATCCATGTTAAAAACATCCAAATGTCATAGATTTGTTACTTAGGCACCTTCCTTTCTTTGGGAGAATCTCAGTACTTTTACATGTACCAGACTCATTGAAGACTGATTCGTTTTTGTCCTGGGTTGACTATATGATGCTTATATCCCCAACTGTCTGTTCTGTTTATACTGGATAACAAGTTTTGCACCTTTAAGACTTGTTCCAAGAGTGAGGTGGGGAGAGAAGAAGCACGGAGTTCGTTATCAGAAACTGCACTTGCTCCCCTGCATCCTGCTCCTGGACTGTGTTGTCTGCAGCACAGACAGACAGCAGGACAGAGCTCTCCTTCGCTTTTAGTTAGCTGAGGCAAAGTTCCCTGGACTGTGGTTTTTCTTTTTCTTGGACCCGTTTAAACCTGCTCTGGACTGAGCACCCAGAGGAGCAGCGGCAGCTCACACCTGCAGCCCACCAGGCCGGGCCTGGGACGCGGCATTTCCACCACCAGAGGGACTGATCAGAGACTGAGGGAGCTGAGCTACAGCCCACAAAGGGGACTTTCCTGAGTTTGCCATCTCCTTTGGAGCGACAAGATTGGCAATATTGTTTAATATTGTTCATTTTTTGTGCTGGTGAATGCTTTGCCTCTTAAATAATTATTTTTTTCCCACTTTTCTCCAAGGAAATATCTTCCTGAACCAGTTAGGGGAGGGACCACTTGAATCTGCTTTCTAGAGGAAACCCCTTTAGAGGTTTTTCTCCCAAATTCACCCTAAACCAGGACAGTTTTCTCCCAAAGGCACCCTAAACCAGGACATTCACCCTAAACCAGGACTAAACTACTGCTTAGTTTGGTTTGGTTTTTTTGGTCATGTTGTTTTAAAATTGTAAGATCAGGTTAGGAGATCTTGGGCCAGGCTTCACTAATGGTAAGTCCATTGAGAGAATATACAATAGTTAAGGCTCTGGCTGTGTTAAAATAATTGAGACCAATAATAGATTTTAATATCTTTTTATGTATCTCATCCCATTCTTTTTATGTGGGAGAATAGATGGAAAACTCACTGTTTTCAGAAGGAAGAAGCTGTGATGGTCTGGAAATGTCTGGGAAACATCCTTAGGAAGGTCATGTACCTTAGGTCCTAGGCCTTGCCTAGATGCCTTCTATCTGCTAAATAAGCCAGTGGACAGGATGGCTGACTTAGGTATTACACACTCTTGCAATGGGCTGTTACTATAATCTGTGTGAGCTGACCTCCCTGAGAGAACAGGTGTGTCCAGGTGAAAGGAAGTATATCAATCAATTGTCAGCTGTAACCACAAATGAAAGAAGTTAAAATCTTCCAGTCAAACACAGCAGGCAAAAAGTAGTGTTCTTGTCTTATGATGTATTCATCAGACTGGATGAGGCTGAAGCAGAGAATCACCATATTAAGTGGCTGGCAAGCTTCTAGAATAATCTAGAAATTTCTTCACCTAATTTCTCAGGATCAAGTCTGCTTGAGCTTGGCTTATTAATATGGATTTGGGTGGAGGCTGTAAGGAGTGGGTGAAGGAGTGTAAGGGGACAGAGAAGAGCCTGGTCTGTACAAGAAGGCTGAGGGCAGTAGTGTCATGGTGGGTACTGGAGAGAGCAGGAGCAGACGTTGTGCTAGAAAAAATACAGAGTACAGTTCTTGTTCTCCTGCTCTGCTCATGGCTTCAGCCTGAAAGAAAAAAAGCTGAGGTACCCAAAGTCACCTGTGATGAACTCGTGGCTTTTGTGTTGTCCTGCTTCCTTCTTTCTCCCTGCCCCCAAAAAAAATCAGCCAAGGTCACATGGTACTGCGCAGTAGATATTCATTTACAAACACTCTGTGTGGGATTTTAGCACCCGCATAGGAAAGAATGACTTAAAGATGAGAGCAGCTGTAGAGGTGAACTCTGTTGTCCCAATTTTTATAGGCTGACTAAGTAGGGTGGGAAGTGGATTGCCCATCTAATGTACACCAAAAGGAAAGATACAGGTTTGTATCATTGCTGACGGATGGTTCTGACTGAAAAATAAACACCAAAGGAAAGCAACTTTGGCTGAAAATTGGATTCTTAGCGGCAAGAAGTGCCTGATCTGATTGTTTGTCCCTTTTTTTACTTGTCTCTCCTCTTTTTCCCTCCTGGCCCTGTGACTTTCGGCCCTTTCAGGATTGCCAGTCAGTCTCTCTGTGTCTGGAAGGAAACACTCTGCCCTAGTGTGGAAGCAACAGCTTCTTTTATATTGTGTGCTATAGTTATCTAACTTGTGCATCTCAGAGCAAAACTGATAAAGACTGCTAAGACAAGATGATAATTTTCAATCTTTAATAGCTTATCAGGTTTTAAAAACCTCATGAAAGAGCTGTGTGTTAGTTAAATGATGATTAATAGGGAAGCTCCTGAAAAAAAATATACCAATTTATATTTGATTTTGTAATAGTGTTAGACTTGTCTCTTTTCTCTGAATTAAGTCTGTAAAAACAAAAGGATCACAAGAGAACAGCATGTCTCTGCTTATTTAAATCAGGTGGAATTGTTGGCACATAACCTTTGTGGTCCGGAAGTTAGGTGGGATAGCTGAAAATTATTGTTTTATACCAGGATCGTCCAAGATTTAAAGCTGAGATGTAAACCATCTACTTTATATCACAAGAGTCAAACATTCTGTGGAACAATATAGGAACTGTAATGAAGTTACCATTTTTGTGTCGTAGGAGGGGGGAAAAAAGAGAAAAAGGGTATTGTCTTTATTAACTCTTGGTTATTTTTCTTTCCCAATTGTTATGCAGGTTGCTGTAGAGCCACCATAGGGGACTTTCTGCCTGGGTGAGAAGATAGTTGTTTTTACAGTGCAAGTTCTCACTTGTGACAAGGTGGAGGATCCATCTGTAGATGGAGGGTGGACCTTTGCAGGTTTTAATACTTGCCTGTCTTGTAGTTTAAGCTGGCTGGGCAGCAGGTTCAGATAGATAGAAATGTAATAAATTAATCTGATTCGTGCTAACAATTGTAACTATATCGACATTTTAGAAAATATTTGTTAAAAAATAATAGAGAAAAAGAATATGTAGTGTCACAAAACAGATGTTTTCACATGTTCATGAGAAAATAGGATGCAGGATGTAGTTTGAGATAAGTAAAATCCCAAAATGAACGAGGCCTCGGGATGATTAAGGAATCAGCCTTGAAATGGACAAAATTGGGATGATTCCAGGTATCTATGACATAATAAGGCTTACTTTTGGAATATAATGCTGGCTTCTATAACAAAAGACTTGGGGCTCATGTGCAGCCTGTGGGGTTGTTCAAAGGACAGTGATGATGAGGAGAAACCTTCATAGGAAGTGACCACCAAAGAGCCAGAAGACTCCTTAGAAACAAGCAGAGCCTGCACTGTGTGGTATAGTGACGTAGATTTCAAGAACCAAAAATAGGAGGAGATTTATGGGAAAATATTGATGAATATGTATTAGCATACAGTGTATAAGTTGTGTTTGGATTCCTTTGTTTTTCGTATGGGAGGCAGGGGGAGAAACCCTCCCAATACCCCGGTCAGGTTTGTACTCCGGTTGGTTTTGCTTATTCTTTATCCATTGCCAAAATTATTTTTGTATCTGCTTGATTATATTTGACTGTATTATTTTATATAAAATTGCTGCTCAATTAAATTTGTTGCTAAATGCAACTTTGTTGTTTATTGAATTAGACATATAGAACTTTATTCATAACAGAAATAAGCTATTTGCAAGTACAGTGGCACAGTCAGATGAAGATTGGCACTAGTCTGATCAAAACAGTTTAAACTTCTATTTAGAGAAACAGGGAAAGCAGTCAAGTACCAGAAGCTAAAAGCCATACAAGATCTCAAGCTTATTCCCTATGCCACTATGAACAATTAATTTACACAGCACTGTCAACTAGTTGTGGGTTTTTATTTATAATGCAAGTGTGCTGATGTTCTCTTTCTTCACTTGCAGCTGCCCTGAGAGCTTGTGCTGATGGAGGTGCCAATTGTCTCTACCACATCACAGAAGGGAGCCAGGAAAGGTATGTCAGCAATACATTTGAAGTCATTGAAGTCATCTTTTCCCAATGAAAGTAAAATGTGGAGGAGCAGGATCTGTTCAGTTACTTAAGTAGGTGCTTGCTCTGTGCCTAGTACTTTAATGAACTGTGACAGGTTGCATAATATTTTCTCCACATTTTTTTTCCTGGCTACAATTTATAAAAACACAGGTTGCCTGAAAGACCATTTTCCCTGAAGCCCACTGGTCTTTTTTCCTCTTGAAAGCTCTGCTCTCAGTCTGTCTTATTTTGTGCATCCATCAGAGTTAGGCCTCTGAAAAAATTTGCTGTGCCCCTAGCAAGGGTTGCCTGGAGGAGCATCTCATGCTTGTCACCATGAGCTGAAACAAAGTATGTCCCCTTCATTTTTCATGTGAGGCCTTAGAGGAAATCTACTTACTTAGTGAAGTGAGATGGATAATAAAATAGGAAGACTTATTTTTTAATTATTTTTAATTAGCATCAGGGCATTATAAATGACCAAAGGCAAGTAGAGACACTATCTATAAATGTGTACACTAGATGAGGAAATATGATTGAAAGAATATGTTCTTGTTTTCTGCAATGGCATTTAAAACTGTAAAACATCCCAGGTTTCTGCAGCAGAGTTGTTGAACAGGGGTTGTGGTGCAAAATACTTCACTCAAGTGATTTCTTATCTTTGTAGTGGAACCATGAAACATTGTGCAAACTTAGCTTACTAAGGATTCTTTTTGCGTGTCTTTAGGATTTTCATTTTTTTGAGCAAGAATTCATAACTAAGTATTTTCATAAAAGTTAATTGATACACTGACTCTTGGAGCAAAGGAATGAGAAAGGCATCTGGTAGAACTTAGAAACTTAGGAACAGTTTTATTCATACAGCAAAATCTGACACATAGTTTGCTTTTCATCTCATGGAGAGTGAATGATGGGAACAAGAGGAAGCTCAGTTTCCTCCTCTCCTTCAGAAAAAAGACAAGAGTTAGAGAGGAAGGCTGTAGTCCAAAAGGAAAAATTAAAGTAAAAATTTCTTCCTTTGTCAGCTGTGAGAAGTTTATCTAAAGTTCTACAACTGCTAAGACTGGAGTCTTGGAAGCACTGCTGTTGTAGACTATGTTTTATAACATTCAATTTGTCCTTTCTTAGTATTTGCTCACAGAGACATGGAAAGCTTAAGCAGGTGTCTGAATTCAAGACCAACTTGCAGCAAACAGTTCTCTTTGATAATGGTGATGCTCTCCAAAGAACAACATTTGAGAGCTTTTGCTTTACCTTCTCTGGTAACCCATTAATCTGTTCTGCACATATTTATGTTTGTATTAAATAAATATATTTCAGGGGAAAATGGATAATTATACTTTGACTTAATAGTTCTTTCAGTCTTACATACTTGGCCCTTGGAGTATTCTTTTTCTCTATCTTTATTCTTCTCATCTTAATTGCTTTGGTTGGCCATATTTTACCTTCAAAATAGTTCTTTTGAAACAAAAAAAAGGAGTGCATAATTTGGGCTTTTGTCTTTAAAGAAATCATTCTGCTGGAAAGAATATCCATTTACTTTTCCAAAGTATTTTTTCTTTAAATTCCCTGTCCATTGTTTTTAAAGAGCTGTCTCCTCAGACTCTACTGACATACTAATCATTTTTTAATGCTGTCTTAACATTTTAAAACTATACTTTATTCAAAGCCCTGATATCTAATTGTGTTGTATCAAAACCTGGAAAACAATAGTCCTTTAATTTTAGGGATATTATAATGTACAACAGATATAAATAAAGAATTTCATTGATTTTTTGAGCTTGATTCTCAGTGACACTAAATTTTTTGAAGAATCCTTTAGAATGGGAATTAGTGATAATATTTTGGGAAAAGAATAGCTTGCAGTATGGTGCTCTTGTACTGGTATCTTCCTTTGGAGATAAGTTCATATTACAGAATCACAGAATGGATAAAGTTGGAAGGGACCCCAATGGATCGAAGAAGGCCTTCTTGTCTTTGACAGCCTTGGCCAGCTTTAATTCCAGATAGATCTTGGACCATCCTCATCTCATTTATACCTACTGTGACAACCTCTCTGTATTCATTCCAAAGTCCTGACACTGACTGTGTTTCCTGTGTGTTTCCTGCCTACACTCAACTAATGACAGGACCTCTTAATCATCCACAGGCCTATCTTCCCTTGGCCTGATTTCTTTCTCACTGGGCTGCAACATTCTTGGGACTGGAGGAAGTGATCCTTGAATATCCACCAGCTCTCTTGGACCTCTATTTCCTGCAGGCCTCATTCCCACGGGATTCTTCCAAGAAGATCCCTGAAGAGGCTAAAGTTAGCTCTTCTCAAGTTCATAGTTACAATCTTACTGCTTCCTCCTTCCCCATACTGAACTCCACTCATGGTCACTACAGCCAACAAGGTCTTCTCTGTTAGTATGAGATCAAGCAGCACACCATTCCTTGTAGGATCATCCACTTCTTGTGTTAGGAAGTTGTCATCAAGGCTTTCCAGGAACTTCCTGGATGGTTTGTGCTTCACTGTGTTGTTTCTCCAGTAGATGTCAGGGTAGTTAAAACCCCCCAAAAGAACCAGCACCTGTGACTTTGAGGCTGCTTCCAGCTGCCTGTAGAAGGCCTCGTCAACCTCCTCCTCCTGCCCGGGCAACCTGTAGCAAACACCCACAACAGCATCACCCTTACCAGTCTGTCATTTTATTGAAACTCATAAGCCCTCAACTCACTCATCATCCTCACCAAGACAGAGCTCAATACATTCTAAGTGTTAGCTCACTCATAGATGGCAGCTCCACTACTACACTGCCGCTACTCCTCCTGGCTAGCTGATGACAGGAGGCGGGGGGCGGCAGATCCCCCCTCGAGCTCCGTTGAATCCCAGGTGCCAGTGTCGGTGCATCATAAAACACAGAGCAGCATACGGTCCCGGGGTAACTTTATTTGATGGTAAGCTTCCCCTTCTTCTGCCTCCCAGGCCCCTGATTGGGGGGAAAAAGGAGCTTATATTTGTGGGCAGTTCTCAGGGGAGGGTACAATCTTTAACAAATCAGGAGAATTGGGAGTAAAAGACCAGGTGGGAACCACAATGTGTAAACCAATAAAAATCCCAAGGGAGGAAAACAGTTTCAGTAAACTGATAGAGTTTGGAGAAATAGAAACTAGCAACTAACAACAAGAAAAGTGACGAAAATTCTGGGAAAAGGCGGGAACAAAAAGGAAACAGCATAAAAAACTACCAAATTAGAAATCAAACAATAAACCTACTAATAAAACAAAAACACACTACAACACTACACCTTCCCAGTCTATCTCTCCTAAATAGTGTATACCCTTCATGACAGCATTCCAGCCACGGGAGTTATCCCCCTACATCTCCATAATCACTGTGATGTGACTGCACACAAGATCTGTCCTTCCTCTTGTTTGTTTCCCATACTGTGTGTGTTGGCCTACAGGCACTTTATAGAGGTATTTGATTCTGTCAGTATTCCAGAAGGGGTGCAGAGGGATGATGCATAGTCTTTCTTCTGGTTGTGTCTTTGAATGCTTGTTTTTAATTGAGGTATTCCCTCTTAAGCCTCCTTTTGCTGCTGCCATGGTTGCTGTAGTTCTTCCTCAGTGCTGAACAATTAACGCGCTTTTCATTATGTTGGCCTATGCCAGTGGATGAAAAGCAGCAAAGGGTGATTCAAGAGCCCCCCACCTCCATCTGTTTCCTGTTTTCTCCACTGATGTCTTGACTTGCTTTTGTGCTTGACTCGTCAAGCCAAGGAAGTTCACACCTTCCTCTCTATAGCATTGCACAGGCTGACATAGCAATGAGGCTTTATGTCATGAGTTTAACATATGTAAGATGTTATCTGTCTTTCTCTGTTTTTGTGGTGTCATTTTTATGATGTTTGGTTGGTTTTTGCATTTTCTCAAAAAATCTGAGTTGCAATTAATTTTGTTTGAAAACAAACCTGTCCAAGAAAACCTTAACTTTTGTAAATGCTAACAAGGAGAAACCATGCCAGTTTTTTTCAATGATATGTTAAAATTGCTTTCTACAGCATGAGGGCTAAGAAGAATAATGAAAAGGGTAGGATGACTTTCCCTTAAAGAGGCTGGTCCTAGGGAGCTGTCAGTGCTGGGGACATGGGAAAGACGAGTGGAAAAGGACTGAATGCTGTTGCTTTTCAGCCTCTCTCTACAGTCCAGAAAGGTTATTTTCCTTAGACTGTTAATACCAATTCCCACTTAGAAATAAGGATTACTGCTAAACTGTTCTTGATTGCTAAACAATTGCTACTAATCAGATTTACAGGTGAGTTGCTGATCTTTATGGGTTCTTTGCTGTGCTTCATTCTGTCTGCCTTGCCTATCCAATTTTGAATTTTCTTGAGTCATTATGAAGCACTGCTTTCCACTTCAGCATTAGGCAGTTGTTTATTTGTATCACACTAAAGAACTTGTTTCTCAACACCTGGTGATTACATCTCAGGACATGGATTCATCTGGATGTCACTGGCTTTGGAGTATACAAAGGTGAAAATGCATTGAAAAGTATCATCACATTGGAACCTTTAAAACCAGTCATTAGTACTTGTGTCCTGGATGCTGTTTTCCAGAGAGATGTCAAATCCAGTGTGTAATCAGGTTTTGCAGTGTTAAGAGCATCAGGTTAAAGAGGGGAGCGGTGAGCTCTGCAAGTAGAAGGATAAACCAGTCATGAAAAATACTATGTTTCTGGAGTTCTAGTTAGTATTTCAAACTGGCTGTGTGACACTAGTTGGCTTGCCTACAGTCACAGAAAACATCACTTTCCCTGTGAACTGTATAAAATATAAGAGTAGCAGTAAAACTGGAAAATGGTAAAATTTTCTACATATTAAACATAAATGAGGTGAACTCAGGTAATGCATGAAAACACAGCTGCTACTATACAATTATTCTCTGAACTGGCTGTAAATGCAGGCAGCTTCAAGAAGCTCTATGTAAGTTTTTAAAAA